TGCTCCTAGAGTTAAAAATTTTCTTTTGCAGTTTGTTCTGCTACTGGCCACAGATTACTTCATTCATGTGATGCCACCATCTCTCCTCCTGCTTCTCTCTTGGTTTGGGCTGCCCCTCTGAGCATCATTTTACTGATCCCCTATTGAAGAGGAGCCCTGAGCTTGGAGGAAGCAGGGAAGTTCACAGGGAAATAAAAGCAGTCCTGTTGGGCTAAACCAGAATGGTCTTATGTTGCTAACAATGGCCAGCATAGATGAATTGAAGAAGTACATAGAAAGGATAAATAAAAAAATAAGAGTCTTTCCTGATGGCATCTGGCAGTCTATGGTGCCCATGTCAGGAATTTTGAATATGAAAGCCTTTGATGGACATTTATCCTTGAGTCTGTCTGCTTTTTGAAATTATGTGTAGTAATTGTTCAGCCCAAATAGGTGAGATGCATTTTGCCTTTACGTTGCACTCCAGGCTCCTTTCCAGTCTGTGGCCACTCAGTATACAATATTTTTTGAGCACCATTGCTGAGTGGTTTTTTTTTAGCTAACATCTGCATTTGGGGCTATTTTCTTCAGCTCTATTAGCTAGCATTTTTTAAAATGAACATCCTTAATTGGATCAATTTGAAAGGATATTAATCTTCTGTCCATTTATTCAATCTTCCATTCTCCCCACTGGGGTTCACAACCCCTCTGAATCTGAGTGCTGTCAATGAATACAAATAATATAGAGTACGCATATGATCTCAGATCATTAGTGAGAATGTTAAATAAGTTCAGGTCTAATACTGATCTCTGGAGCACCTAACTTCTCAGCTATTCCCCATCTAACCATGCTGATGAGTAACAATGCCTTCTACAGCTAGGCAAATGAGGATTTGGCTTACTGCCAATCCCAAAAAATCAGGAGAAAGCAGGAGAGGAGTTGGTTTAAATCATGCTGAAAAGGAAAAAAATCAATCAACACTTTCTGGTGGGTCAGAAAAACACCTATATTCAGTTTGGATCAGATGGGTTTTTTTCTTTCTTGATTGGCATTGTGGTTTCACTTTTGTTTAAAATATTATCAAGTATTTTAAAACTTTCTTAGCTGCACATTAAGGGGAGGATCCTAAACAAAAAATAGTTTTGAATAAGAAAATTAAAAAGCTCCTTCCCCAGTAGTCAGATGTTGGATATTTAAAGAGTGATTACTTTTGCAAGACCAAACAGTTTAGTACATCTCAGTCAGAAAGTACAACCTGTAACTTTCAAACTGAGAAAACTACATTTTTCATCCTGTCTAATCATGGCCTGCTAGAAAAAGAAATTTTTTGTTTAAAAATGCCATCCATTTCTGATCATCTTACACAAGATTTTCACTTCTTTTCAGTTTTAATGTTTGTGGCATGTAAATGGGACAGCTAACTACAGTGATTTTTCTGATTTGTGAACCCTTATTGCTTGCTGTAATTAATAGCATTTACTGTAGAAATGCCTGAGAGCACTTATGTGTGGGCCCAGGACCCTGTGGCTCTGGGCTCAGAAGAAGCACAGCACAGGAGAGTGGGCAGATGTGCTTCCACCAAGAGAATGAAGCTGGACACAGGCTACAGCAGGCTGCAGCACACAAAAATTTGAGCACTGGAATGGCAGCAGTTTAGTGCTTTTTACTACCGTATTGTTTGTTTCCATTGGATATAAATAGCAGGGGCAAAAGTTGGAAAAAAGTAAAGAATAAAGGATAGTTAAAGTGTCTGGGTCAAGACAGAGGCTGCTGAGAGATGCAGGTATAATCTGAAGATGAGCTCAAAATCCTTGAGGTACTCTGAGTCATGTTGTTTTCATGACTAGTGATATAAAAGCATGCTATATTACTACTGGTTTTGTATGAATATCTACCAGATATTTTGTATTCATCATATAATTAAAATTTAAAAAAATATAAAGCTGTTGATATTGACTTAGTTTCTGCCCAATTTGTGAATTGATTTTGACTGTATCTTTAGGCTAATGTCCTCTTCTGGCCTGGTGTTAGACAGCTTTATTTTAGCTCTGAGCTTTTGGCCCTTTGGTCCCTGTTCTTAGTGAGAGCCCGAGGATCAGAGCTAAATGAGCTTTCCTCGGCGTGGGAGTTGGCTGTGGGATAGAGAAATCAGTGGTGGCTGTACAGCAGCACTCTGCTCCTCATTATGCAGCACTGCCAGGCTGCTCCAGGCTGCTCCTTCCCCTCTGGGGCAGAACGTGGCTCTGAGCTCCTTCAAGATGAGACTTGGGCTGCTCTCTCCTCTCACCCTCCCTGTCCTGCTGCAGGCCCCTGTCTGCCAGCAGTGCAGGACAGCCCTGGTGCGCAGGTAAGGCAGCTTGCAGACTTGCAGTGTCAGAGCAAACCAAATCTAGGACACCTGTGTCTTTGTGTAAACTCATCCCTCCCTCAGCGGATGTGAGCGAACCCAGTCTTCCCAATTACTCATCCCTTCACATTATCCCTGTCCTCGCTGCAGAGTTTCCTCCTTGTTTTTCTCTGATGCCCCAGTTAAGAGGTAATGGGGTATAAAGCTTCAGGCAGAAAAAAGGAGGCAGGATGCTGGAGCGCTGTCCCAAATGGCAGAACAGAGCCTGCTGATTGCATCCAGCCTGAGATCCTCGGTGTGTGCGTGTGGAGGAAGGGGAGAGGGGGGATGCTTATTAGACCGAATGGGAGTTGTGTGCTCTGCGGCCCTGAGGATGTAAGGAAGATTTGCTAACTTTGCTTTATAGTATTCATGCAGATAAGGAAGACTCTCAGTCTCCAATCATAAATCGGTATTATACAGTATACTCCCAAAGGCCATAATTACTTCCAGAAGCAGAAATTTGAATGACCCAGATAATTAGTTCAGTGCAGCTGGTCCAAAAATTATTTACATAAAAGCCAGTTTTACTTGAGGGGGAAGAAAAACAACCTTGCTACCAAAAGCAAATGACCCAGTTAGCTTCATGCAATGAGTATGAGGAGACAGAGCACGAGTGGCAACACAGTGGCCTGTGCCATCACTTCTTCCCTCTTGTTTTCAGAGGACAAACACTGACACAATGAGCCTCTCTATAGACAAACATGCAGGAAGGTAGTGAAGACACAGGAAAACTGCATGAATTTGACCTTATGCTTTCTGTGAGAGTCAGTCTCAGGGAGATGTTAAAGTCCATGGCATCCAGAGGAAAACATTTCACTTGCAAGAGGCAGGCACCGAGGGGCAGGGAGCAGCACAGCTCTGCTCCAGGCACTGGGGCTGCTGCCATCAGTCCTTCCATGCAGGGTGCTGATGCAACTGGAAACTAATCACTGTGGTTATCTGGGTTAATTTTTAACCAAAACCAGGTCCTCTTTCCAGCTCAGCACACAGCTGGGCAGCAGCAGGGGTGTCCGGGAAGGGAATGCCCAGCAGCAATGTGGTTGACTTCTCCAGGGGGCCAGTACTGATATTTCAGAGGTTTCCCTCCAAACTGCTAGGTTAAAAAGCAAAGAAAGGGTATGCTTTTAGAAAGGGGATTAATTTTAAAAGCATCTGAGTGATTCAACCCTTTCCTGGTGACTGTGAGCACTTTCGGCATGTACTAATGGGCACACAAACCATTGCGGGATTAACCACTGCTGTTTATTTACGGTTGTGTGGAGAATCCTGAGTCTTGGCTCTGCAGGGCTCTGACCCCATTCCCAGGGCCAGATCCTCTGTCCCTGCCAGCACTTTTACCCTGCAGCCCATGAAGATGGTGACTGACCCCTGCACAGTGGTCCTGTTGCCACTCTGTGGGGGTCAGCCCCAGAAGCACTTGGTCAGTGTCTGGGATATCCTCTCCCCTGCCCACCAGTGAATGAACATGTGCTGCCGCAAGCATGGCAGGACACAAAGGTGCAGGTAAGTGTGAAGAAGGAACCCTGAGCTGCAAATCCCCATTTCTTGTGTCCTTGCATCTTTGCCATCTTTTCAATCAGGCTGTGGCCACCACAGCATCCAAACGTTGCTCCGCAACAAAAATTTCCAGACACTGCCAGGAAAGGTGTCTGTTGTCCTCAGTGTGACACAGGCAACCAGCTGGCATCACCACTTCTTAGCACTCTCACAAGGCCTAAGTGGTTTTGTGCTTGTGGTTCTGGGAAAGTTTGCTCACCCTCAGAACAGAGCCCTTATCCCCCAAAAGGAGTTAGAAGACAAACAAAATCTGTGAGAAAAAGAATGGGATGACAGTGATCTTTTGTGTTCAAGAGAGAGCACAAACATGGTTACTAAAAAAAAAAAGGCTAAATTGTTCTTCTAAAATGTAGAGTGTACAACTAATAACAGCAAATTGCTGTGCATCTCACCAGCACCCCATTGCTGTTTGGTATTGCCATGGATAGCACTTGTTACTTAACAGAATAGTAAATAATCAGATAGCATCCTCATAACACCACTGGATCCAATTCACCTTCCACTTACACAGCTTTTATGCTCATATGTGCCCATTGCCTTAATGGGGTTAATTTTGATTTACAGTGTAAATTGAAAGGTGAATTAGAGACCACAGAAGGCAAGTTGGAGAGGATATGATTTGCTGCAGGCTGCACTGTGATTGCACCAACGCTCACCTAGGGTGGCAGGATATCTCTACCAAGCTTAAGAGCTTCACCATTGCCGGGGCAGAGGCAATAGAAATTCAGGCCCTGCCATTCTTTGTTTACAGTGAATATGAACATCTTGCACAGCACAATGTGCTAGCAGGTTTCTTCCCCTTCCCTCATCCCACTCTCTCTCTATTTGTCTCAGGGACAGTGAGACCATTCCTCCTACACAGCCTGAACCCTTGGGGATCTTTCATTCCGCCCCTTGCTTAAAGACAGTGCACACAAAGTTCTGGAGAAACATATTGCAGCACAGAATCCAATGAGCTGGACATGAGCTGACCTTTTGAGGTGGGCACTCAGAAAAGAGTAAACTTCAAGAATTTACTTGAAGGTTGATGTTTACAACATGGGAATGCACCACAACCCTGGTGCATTCCCTTTTACCTGTGCTGCAAAGTCCAACAGAAGTCAGCCTCATCCATCAAACTGGAGCTTGCTCTGGTTCATGGCTGTCATGACCCCAAAAGGCTGAGCTCAGGCCTCCAGTATGGGCACCTTGCACCTCATATAAAACCTTGGGATCAGCAGATGGCAGATTCTGGAGGAGAAAATATTTGTTAACAGAGGGTAGGGTAGCTTCTGACAGTATCAGGAAATTTATGAGGAAAGGGTCTTCAGGGGCATTTGGGTGAGCAAGCAGTGCCACTCTCCCCAAGCCATCCTGACTGACCCCCAAACTTGTTGTCTGGAGGTCTGTTTGTGGAGATCTGCTGGGGTGTGTGTATTTGCATCTGTCTGTCTCCTTCAACACCTGAGAACCAACCAGCTCTTCAGATGCTGTCAGGCGGCAGCAACTGAGCTCAGCAGAAGCACAGCAGCCCCCACCAGCAGCAGAGCTGGTCCTCCAGGACATGTCTCCTGGAGAAATAGCACAGCTTGGTCTTTTGGAAGCAGCACTGTTGGTAAATATACCCTTATTTACATTTCAGACACACGAGGGTTTCCTCTCCTGGCTCCTCCTTGCCCCCTGCAGCAGAGCATGCTCACAGCAGAAGAGGACATGCGTGGGACAGGATGCTGGATGCACTCCCGTACCTCTCACCACACCCGCATCCCATGCCAGGGCTTTTCTCAGTGGGCTAAGCTGGCTCCTAGTCAGGGCAGCAATCCCATTGCTGTATCAGGTATTCCCAAAATGAATCAGTCAGTCTGAATTGCACACTAAGCAGGGCAGGTTGCTGTGTGCCAGGACCCACGCTGGGGCTGGTGAGTGCAGGGAGCACCCAGAGGGATGTGAGGAGCCAATCTGGACCCTGCATTCACTCTGATTGCAGAGGTAGAGAGCAGTGGGTGCTTCGGGGCAGCTGCTTCCCTGATAAAACTCCTCCTGTCAGGCAGCAGAAATAAATTTACCCCCCTGGGCCAGCTGGTCCCCAGCGTGGGAAGTTCAGGAACCTCCCTGAGGTACAAACAGACATTTCCAGCCGCAACAAAATATACATAAACATTTTAAAAGATCACTTTAAAATTCCAGCTCTCCCCCTCAGCTGCTTGCCACCATCCGATTTCTAAATGAGCAGGATTCCTCTTGTGTTCAGCTTCATACATATATATATATATATATACCCACATAAGCATGCCCACCTCGTACACAAAGTACTCCTCATCTTCAAGTCAGTCTCACCTGAGTACAGAATTAGATCCTGTCTCCACTTCATAAACTTGCCCTCTCTGTTAGTTTATATAAAGCTGTTCAATCCTGAAGGAGCTGGCATCTCACATTCCTGCCTTCTGAAAGTACAGAGCAGAGGAGTAAGGAACAAAACAGTGGGGGTGAGAGGGGATGTTCTGATTCTGCTCAGTAACATGAAACATCATGGAGTTAAATACCAACAAAATATTCAGTGTTAATGTTTAATATTACTGGGAACTTGTCACCTCCACTTACCATCTTGGAGCTGCCATTCTCTCGCAGACTCCCACGTCTGAGCTCTGGGCCTAACATGCTTTCACATTATGTACTAGAAGGGGAAAAAAAAAGAAAAGCCAAGAAATAAGGGAGAGTCAGTTACTCTGTTTCAGCTACAAAGCCAGGAAGGGATTTTTTCCCTTTTCTGTTTGCAGGAATAAAATGACTCACATGGCAGAGCTCCTGAACTGCTCCTTTTCAGGGGTTACCTTTTTATTCACCCCTTTTATAATGTTTGTGAGATGCTCTTGGGTATATGCAAATTTGCTTTGCTGCACAGGGTAACCAGTCTTGTCCTCCCTCTTATCCACCATTTCCAGCCAGAACCTACACAGCTGTTCTGCAGACTCAGGAGCACAAAAATTGGGTGATCTGGGGACAGAACAGTTCCTAAAATAACATGAATTAAGACTTTGCCTGCCACACTCTAAAAAGGACTTGAGGCTGATTTCCCTCATGAGGGTCCTCTTGAAAAATGCATGGATGCTGTTTCACAGACCCCGCTTTCAACTCAGGGATTGTTTCTTGGTGCACCTTGGTGCCATCCCAAATGTCTCTCTTTCACCACTGGAAACTCAGGCACCACAAAAACAAGAAGACAAACCTCTTCGTGATCAGTGGAAACACCCTGCATCACGCTGCAAACAGAATCAGGCCATCCTGCCTGTCTCTCTGGTTTCTGTAAAACGACTTATTATCCCTCTAGGCTAAGTGGTTAATGAAAATTCAAACTCTTCTAGCTTATTCCAGTTAGGAGGAAAGATGGGTGATGCAATCAGGTATCTCTGCTGCAGTTGTGTTTATTTGGAAGGCTGTACAAAACCCTGCTTCTTTAAGCACAGGAAGAGCCAAAGTAACAGCAAAAAATATTATTTTCTCAACCTCTTTTTGTCACAACCTCCACCCAAAACTGATGCCAATATTCTGCCAAAACCATCAGACTCTGTTCTAACTTTCTTCTGGTTTTTTTTTTTTTTTTTTTTTTTGCTCTGTTATTCCCTCTACACCTTTAACTTTTTTTCCCTACAGCAACAAGCATGTTCACCACACCCCTGAAACAGCACTTGGCCGAGACACTGCTGTGCAGAGCAGACAGATCCCTAAAAAACACCGGGGCTGCCTTTTGCAGGGAGCTGGAGAGGGGGAGGTGACACATGCTTAATGCCTCTTACAGCTGTGTTAAATGAAAGATGCCTCCAGACTGTCTTTCTCACTAAGGCTTAATCCAGCTGCAACATCCCCCACATTTGTTGAATTATTGCAGCCAAAACTTTTGGTTAAAGAGTAAACAAGCAAACAAAAGCAGGGAAACTTGGATTTTTGTGGCGTTTAGTGGCCAGGTCCATCAGGTTTATTACCCTTAGCTCAGGGATGTGCTATCATGGCTCTGAGCCCACAAACAAGCCGTGGTGGCTGCGGGAGGATTGTAAACCACCTCTGCTGTTTCCATGCCTCTCGGCATCACTTTTGTTTTGAGCACAATCCATGTGCCACTTCACCACTGATCATTTGGATACAAACCTGCAAAACATCCAGAGGGGTCAGACCAAATCACCCAGAAAACTGTCTCTGGCAGCCAGTGAGAGCAGATGCTTCAGGAAATGTGCAAGAAAAGGGCAAATTCAGATTCATCCTGCCTCTGCCGTAGGTTTCCAGCCTCTGACAAGCTGAACTGAAGGATGTCTTTATATTGTTCTTTAACATCTCTCAAGAGTCTTTTCTGATCTCAATCTGTCCAAGCACTTTTTGATTGCATTTTGATTTTGGCCTTCATGGCATCCTCTAGCAATCAGCTTCATGGTTTAATTATGTGTGTTTGTTAGAAATTTGCTGCCTGGTCACGCAAAACCAAACCCACCCTGAGCTATTGGACACAGAATAAAATACTGGAAAACTGTAAATACCCATTCTTTGTTCATCTTCTCTCTGACATAAATAATTGCATTTCTGTTTATTATGTTTAATCAATCTTACTCTCTCAAATTTGTGCAATAAACTTTCAAATCTGTTTAGATCTTTACCATCTAAATATCCTGTGGCAGTGAGTTCCCAGTGTAAAGCTCTGCTGGTGAATTCTTTTAATTTGTTTTAAATCCACTCCTTAATTCACTGGGTATCCCATTTGCACTGCCAAGAACAGTAAATAATCCTTCTGTTTATACCTTCTCCAGCCATTTGTGCCTTCATAGCAGCACACTGCTATAGTCCACCTTGGCCCCAGACATCTCTCTCTAGACTGAAGTGTCCTGATCTCTTTAATAATAGATTGCTGCTAAACTTAACCATTGCTGCTGGAAGGAGTGGTGAGTGTAAAGGCAGCTTCTGTGGCTGTTCTCAGGGTTTCATTTTCCTGCCTAGCTGACCTTAGACATAATGTCTTTCTGGAGAGTATTTAGGTCATGGGAATGTAAGATAGAGGAAAAAATGGGAAAGCCTATGTATATTCTAAAGAAAGTACATTCTAAAACATTTTGGGAAGGGGAGGAAGTGAACTTTATTTGCATCTTTAAGAAACAAGATGTGAGAAATGTATTCCTAAATTAAAAGTGTTCAAAAGTAGCACGTACAAGGTTTTGTCAGGCACTTATCTGAAATAATCACCAATCACTTTTATTAATGAACTTGGATCAGAAATGGAGCTACGCTAAAGGAAGCTGCTGATTGCTCTTCTGCTTGCATATCTTTAAAGCAAGGGAAAAGAAAAAGCGGAAAGTATTGATATTGCTGACTTGCAAAAAAAGGAAGTTCAAGATGGAGTTTGCACAGAAATGTACAGAGACCCTACAGGGTAGATGCAGAAGCTATTCATGTTCCCAGGTGGACAGAGAGACTAAATATCAAATATTACACAGTGACTCAAAATATTGTTATCTGAACTAATTTGGAAGAAAAATCACACAGTACCATGAGTTTTGATATAAAAGCATTTCCACAGAAGTGTCTATAGAAAACTACTTCTGAAAGGATAAGCAGCACCAAGAGCATTTTAAACTTAATTCCAAAAGCATTTCACTCTTTATTGTTAGAAAGTGTATTTCACTGCAATTTCTTTTCAAATTTTTGCCAAAATTCCAGATCTTGAGATAAAATGTAGAGAAAGCTTATTCTGATAATTTTTAGGAGTCATCTAGGCTAATACATTCTAATTTATGCTAACACACAAGGGAAACTGATAGTGTTTATGGCTGTTTCTGAGTCAGTTGTGACAAAAACATTAAGGTTGTACATAGGAGTTTGAATGAGCAAGGAAATTTCTGCTTTGCTGTAGCCCTATAACTCAGCTACCACTGAACTATGATTGACACAAGATTGCCTTGAATTCTTTGGTTTGTAGTTGCCAATTTCACAGTTTTGATGAATATCTGTGAATTCATGTTTTCTTCATGAGCTGCTCAGAGTCATATTCTCTCGAGTATTTGATCATTCAATATTTAGGGCCTGAATTCCTGGGCAACACTGGGTATGGCTTCCTGGCTGTGTGATGCAATTTTTAGCCAAAGAAATACAGGCTTGAAGATGCCACCTAAGCTCACTCAACAAAGAGAGAGAGAGACCTCCAGCAGTCACTTTATCCCAATTTAAACCACATACCTGTGGGAGGTGGCTTGAAGTGCTCTGAGGCTTTGCTTCTCTCAGCTCACTGCAGCTGGACACTATTTAGCTCAGGCAAAACAACCCATCATTTCACACATGGGATGAGAAGGAGATTTCTCACTTAGATAGTCCCCAAGGGTGTGGGGTTAGGCAGATTTATTTAAAACAGTCCAAAGGGCTGTATGCATCCCATTTACTCAGGCTTGTTAACTTAGGATGGCTGGGACTTGGATTACAGTCATGATTCTCCTACTTCAGTTCAAGGGCAGAAAGGCAAAGCTGATGGTCTCAAAGCAAAGCATATTCATGGGAGAGGTTTAAGCAGATGTGTTTTGTCTGGTATTTGTATGGTCCACACCGGTTACTAAAACTGGGCTGGCACAGAAAAACTTGGGCCCTGAGCCTGATGGTTGGGTGGGTTGGGCTAAATGAAAATATATCAATCTTCAATCTGAGCAGCAGAGTTTGTACACAGATATGTCAGCACTGATGTGACGGCACTGGTGGGAATAGAAGCACAAATCAGACCTTTGAACCCTAAGACCCTTAAGACCTTAAAGTTATTTATGCTGTGCATATATTCTTAGTTCAAACTGGGAGGCACTCACTTCATCTTGCTCTGGCCCCTACATTTTCTTTCCCCCTTGAGAAATGTTGAATATTGCCTATAAGAGGCAAACATTTTTGGTTTTTGAGACCTGCATGTACTTGATATCCCATTTTCTGGGGGGGAAAAAAAGGGGGGAGGGTTTGAACAACTCTAATTGGAAGTCTGAAGAGAAAGCTAAATAGATGAAAAGAAGGCCTTACTGAACATTAATGCTGTGCAGGCGGAGAGCTCTGGCACACTCATGTTGGTGGGCAGTGACCGCCCCTGTCTGTCAACGTCAATATGCCACGAGGAGAGAAATGTGTCCCTTTACAAATCCTAGTGTCAGTCATGCATTTGAAACATGCCCATCCCCAGAGGACACAAGGATGAGAAGCATTTTGTTTTGCATCCACAAATGAGATAAAACATAGCAGAAGGTTGCCAACAAAGCAAGCTCTGTGGTGAACCATTGCTGCTCCATGGAAGATCTGGGAAAAATATGGGAACACTTAAAATAGGAACTAAAGGGTGAAAACCTCCACCAGAAGGAATTACCATTAATTTGGGAATTACTGGTAGCACTCTGGAGGGCAGGACCTGGAGGAGGATGAGGAAGGGTTTATTTGAGCCGTGGAATGAGCAGAGGAGACAGTGTAATGAGGAGAAGATGGGCTGGAGATCCATGATTTTGCCTCCACTATGGGTCACAGGATGTCCTTGTGGAGGCCAGAGGCACCTTCCCACACACCAGGAAATGTGCTGCTGCACTGTGGGAATGCGATGGGGTAAGTGCATGCCATGGCAGCCCTCTTCTTCCTCCTCCTCCTCTAGGGCGTGCTACCATTGCTCTTGCACACAGGGTTCAAGG